GGTATTAATACGACAAGGTGCTCATACAATACAACCAGTGAATGTACAGATAAAGAATGAGCTCTTGCATGCCTCAACTATCTATAAAAGAGCCAACCTATAGTTTTAAGAAGTGAAAAGATGGTCATAATCATCCACACTCCAGCTGCAACATGACAACTGAGTGAGTTATTCCACCGTACCTGGTTCTGATGGACTGAGACTAACTCTGATGATAGACACTAGTCATAGGACTCAGCTGAATACACTTCTGTCTTCATGGCAATGGAGGGGCAAGCGCCTTGGCTCCTGAAAGCAAAATTTAGAAAAACGGGAATTGCCAATGGGTGAGAATGTTCCTATGATAAAATGCTATAAAAGCCAAAACAGCAACCAAAGAGCTTACAGAAGAGATAAATAGAGTATACTGAAACAAAAGGACAGCTCAAAGTGGCTCCTACAGCTAGAATGGCTGGATAAAAGAGAAGATTCTTCAGCCTGTCTTTCCTCCAAAAATCCGCCATTTTACCACCACTTTGGGTGCGCGTTAATTAGAATCGCTTAAGTGCAAAAGGTCCATTGTATTCTCGAAATTGTCAAATCAAACAGCTACTCCGCAATTAAATTCATTGTTTCCAGGGAGCTAACTAGTTGGAAATTCGGAGGGAAATTCACTAATGGCGGATGCTCTAGTGACTTATAGTGAAAGTGATTCTGAAGGAGAGTTGGGAGAGGAGGTTGAGCTACAGTCCGAGTCTGATGATGATGACATTGATAAAGTTCCTGAAGAAAAATTACAATCATTAGGTGACTGATAAAAATAATTAAGAATTTTAATAATTAACCACAAAAATGGCTCTGAACCTTTAAAAGTTTTTATTGCATTTACTAATCCATCTCCTGCCCTGTACTATGTCCTATGCCATGTAGAATTTCACTTGATTCAGATCAGTAGTTCTTAAGTAATTTCTATACCACATACCATCTTGCAGCAAAAATAGCTTTGAAAAACTCTATTTATTATTATACATTATTTTATGAATGAAATGTGCTGTTCTTAAATCTGAATCCACAGAGTTCAGCGTATCTCTCCGTGACATGCTTTGCAATCCACACCTGAGGAAAGTTTTCACTGGACTAGACCATTCTAGACCGGCTAATGGAAGTACCAATATTTAAAGAATTTGCTCACAAATGTCTCAAGATATGTGGAGAGAGTGAGAACGATGCATAGATGTTCAGTATTGTGACTATTGTGCAATCACACTTTTTGTGAGACTAATGATTGGAGTTACCTTCCTAGTGTAGTAGCTGATAGTCAAAGCAATTGAATCTGTTTGTCATTAGGCAACTTAACATTTTGATCAATGAAAATTACTTCTAAAAACTCTGTTTTACTACAAATTATTTTTATCTATAGATAGTAAGTACATGCATATATTGTGCCACTCATACACAAAACTCAATATTCAATTGTCTTGAGTCTCTTGATGTCGACAAGAGCCAATGCCAACAGCAATACTCACAATAATAATTATTATTATGATAATCACTAGGGCAATAGGCAGGGTTATAATTAGGAGAAATATAACTATCACTATTGTAGCGATTCCACACATCATCCATTTTAACTATAGATGGGGAGGAAAGTGGATGAGAGTGGTTGATAGCTAGGTGTGGTCTTACACTGGTTTTTTTGGGATAATTTCTTGCTATCTCTATTGGTTCTGTGACTTCTGGTACATAATCTTTTGTGGCTTTTGGTATGTAATCTTTTGTATTTTCTACATTGTGCTCAATATTGTCTGCTATAAAATCATTCTCATCCTAATAAGAGGGTGTGGTGGTTAGTTTGTGATTGATGGGTGGTTGTCTCACCTGTGATTCATCATTTAGGAGCACTGTCATCTCATGAAACATGTCATGGAGCTCCTGATAAAAGAATATGATTTCTGAGACTGACCGATAGTCGTGTGTGAGATAATACTTACTTTTACATTTTTCTCTAGTTCAGAGATCTTTCTTGCTTCAACCTCTTTAAGTGTTTGTCTTTCTTGATTAGTTTGTTTCAATATCTGAGAAAAAAAATTAACTATAGGGTGAAAATGCTAGCACCACAACAAACTTCTTTTGTATAAGTAGTACATTGTCTATGAAACTCAAATACATGAAAAAGCTTTTTTCAAGTATTTTTTAAAATATGAATTACTATCTCTATGCACTCACATCTTCCTGTGTCAAGGCTGCTCCACTCTCAATTTGTGAGACCAGTTCCTCAAATCTGTCATCCGAAATAGATGTATAATGAACACCAGCTATTGTAATTGATTAATTAATAAAAATAGATAATAATAGATCTGATGTATTTATACTTTTACCTATCTGTAGCTGTCTTCTAAGCATCCCCCTGTACTTTTCTTTGTTTTGCTCTTCCAGCTGTTGATATTCTAACACGAGTCTC